AATATAGTTCATACATGACAAAAACAAATCAGCTACTTTTCATCCCGGAAAATTAAAGAGTTTCCGTGGGATAGTCAAAAAACTATAGTAATTATACAACTTAGTACACAAAAACCACTGATTGGACTTTGATGAAACTTTACAATAATATAGTTCATACATCAGAATAACAAATAGGTAACTGTGTATCCCAGAAAAATGTACTTTTCCCGTGGGATAGATGTTTTTGTTTATTTGTAACGTATTATGTACACAACATAGACCCCACAACAATAGTTATTAAAAAAAATGCCTGTTTATCTGTTTGCCTGTTTGTCTGTTTTTGTGTGTGCGTTTCACGCGAAAAGTAATGTACCAATTTCAACGAAATTTGGTGAAGTGATAACTTATTACTCGAGTCAACATTTAGGGTACCTTTTGTATGTATGTATGTATGTTGTATTCAGCCCCTCGTAACACGTGCGCGGGCCTCCCTTCAGTACGAGGTAGATCAGGCCATAGTCCACCACGCTGGCCAAGTGCGGGTTGGTGGACTTCACATGTCTTTCGAAAACTTGCTAGGTTCTGTCAGATATGCAGGTTTTTCTTCACCGTTAAGACAAGTGGCAACTGTGTTAGAAATGATTCGCACATGAAAATATCAGAGGTGCGAGACCCGGGATTTGAACTTGCTTCACTCGGTTTCCCAAGCGAGCGCGTTACCACTGGGATACCACTGCCTAGATACCTTTTACTTAAAGAAAATCTTTCTTTCCCACGGGAAAATGCAATAACTGGTTTTATCGAGTCCTCCCTAGAAACCTTCCTCTGGCTAAGCCTTAAGACATAAGTCAAAACAATATACTAAAAAATTGTAGGTCTTGAAAAGTCCTACAGAAAAGTTCTGAATAGTATATGTCTATCTTCTAAGTTACACTCGCAATATTTATTCTTATCTATACCTATAATAAAACTTAGTCAAATCGATGTGCGCGTTTCACGCAAAAAGTAATCAACCGATTTTAAACTTAATTTTGTATAGTGATAAAACTTAGTGCTCGGGTCAACATTTAGAAATGAACGGTTCCCGTGGGATAGATGTGTTTGAGCTTTTCTAGAGGTGAACCCGAGCGAAGCGAGGGTGAGCCGCTAGTAATATATATTTACATAATCTATACATATAATAAAATTGTAACTAAGTCGAATCTGTACATAAAATATTTTTTGGAAAATCTAATTGAAATAGACATTATTATCGATACGGAGTCCGAATCTATAGTTTTTAGAATTTTTGTCTGTCTGTCTGTCTGTTACCGCATCACGAGAAAACCACTGGACAGATTTTGATATCCGGGTCAACATATAGGATACTTTTTACCGCGGGAAAATATCTCATTCCTGAGAAAAAATACAAAAACTGAATTGTAAGAGTATACTAATATGTAAAACCTAAGAATTTGGTTTTTGGTCATCTGAACGCGGGCGGAGCCGCGGGCAGTGCTAGTATAATATAAACTTGATCAAATTTTACTATGAAGTTAAACGTATGTACGTATAAGCACAGATCATATAATACTATAGTATAAATAAATTATTGATATCTCCACTAGTAAACTTTAATTTAAATATAAATAATCAGTAAGAAAAGTAGTATTAAAACCATTATGTAGATAAAATACAAGTAGGTACTTGCTCACTTACCGTAACAATCATCGCTAAGATAAGAGTGTGGGACAGAAAGTTTAAAATTATATTTCCATTTGTTCCCGAAAATAAGATTAAATGTACCACAAAGAGGTTTCCATATCCTTTATCGTACAGCTTAAACGCTTTATACAGGATGATTGACAAGTTAAATTAAAGCTGCTTAGGAAACGATCGTACAAAAACAGTAAAGAGTAGCTTTAATCATGACACACCGTTTTTAAAACCGACTACTCTAAAAGCTACCCACCCAGTGATGTTTAACAGTTATATACTTAGTGTCAAGTGCTCGTTTGACTTGTTTGCAAATAGCATTCAGTAGAACATTTGAAAAATTTCTTTAAAATATATATTTTTATTCTATTTATTTTCTATAACGAGTACTATAATAAGTACTACGAGTATAATAAGTACTAATAATTAGGTGTTATTTAACGTTATAATTCACATATATGTAAGATTTTTTTTCTTTATTTAAGAGCTTTGTCGTTAAAACAACCATGTTTCTCGCTCAGGTATACATACATAATTTCTTAAAATTAACTAATTATACGGTTAAAGAATAATTTTCATATAGCTAATTTGCAAAGTATATACTACTAATATGATAAAACATTTCGGTATTATAATGAATAGGCACAGCTAAATGGGATTCCGAATGTGGACCGGGTAGCAAGCGTCGATATCCTCATTTCATAGAGTCGGTATACCCTATAAATCTCGCGAAGCCACATTTTGAGAACCTTTATTAATCTAGTTTAAGCACGATTGCCGCTCCAATCAACTGGAAACGATTTTGCCATTTTGGCGATAAGTAAACAATTTTCACAGCAATTAAAATCTAAAAGAGGAAAAATTTTAATAGCTATTACGAGTAGAACTTTAAAGTAATATCTTGCTGTACATTTATTGTCTTTAATAAAAGTGTCCAGTGTGTTAAGTAAAAACTTTTTCTAAATAGAATCAGTATGAGTGATTTTATCTATATTCATTCATTCAATGTATATATGTATATGTATATGTACATGTATGTATGTATGTATTCAGCCCTTTTTAACATCCCCACTGCGGGGCACGGGCCTCCTTTGAATACGAAGGGGATCAGGCCATAGTCCACCACGCTGGCCAAATGTGGGTTGGCGGACTTCACATGTCTTTCGAAAACTTGCTGGGTTCTCTCAGACATGCAGGATTTCTCACGATCTTTTCCTTCACGATAAGGCAAGTGGTAATCATGTTAGAAATGAATGAAATGCGTTACCACTGGGCTACCACTGCATGTATGCATTGTAAATGCCTATATATATGTGTGTGTGTATATATATATATATATATATATATATAGTGGATGGTATTTACATATTTGCTCTATTAAACGTATTACAACAGGCAATCACTTGTAACAATCGACAAATACATACGTGGCTTTGATTGGGTCGTGTTTGACCTCAAATAAACATAGCAATCTTTTTCATCGATACGATCATACGATACGTAATATCCACTTCTCTCCGTCAATGATTTATATTCAATCCGAATTATAAATCAAGTCTAATTTCATTTTATCGCTTCGTAACTACTAACATGTTTAGTGCGAGTCGTAAATAAATTCTTACTACCTATTAATTCCTCCACGACCGCGGACACGCCGGCGTGTCTTAGAATTTTAATTAATATCTTAGACATTTACCTGGAGGTGTTAATAGAGTATTCTGTTTAATTCTATTGTTTTCGAGTAAATATTACAACAATTTCATGAAAAAATATTTTTTTCAATAATAAACAAATATGTATACACGATAGAACTGCTAACAATGACTTGTTCCAATAGGTATCATTTATAAAGCCTACCCTAATTTAGGAATAGTACCCATGATTCTCGCTGAGGAATTTAATAACGTAAATGTATTTTACCTTCTTTGTTGCCAAGACGCTGCAATAAATTATAAGGATATTATTTCATTAATTAAATTTCAGAACTAATGTTACAGGCATTTGTTCAGTTATTGGTTAATTTAAACTTACAATTAATTATGTCTAGCAAAGCTGAGAGTACAATGAACAAGAGCTTTAGGTTACTGACCGCTCATTTTTTGAACTTCAGAGAGTTAAAAAATTTGAATTATATTACATCACTAGCATTGCCCGCGGCTCCGCTCGCGTTCAGATGACCAAAAACCAAATTCTTAGGTTTTACATATTAGTATAGTCTTACATTGCAGTTTTTGTATTTTTTCTCAAAAATGAAATATTTTCCCGCGGTAAAATGTATCCTATATGTTGACCCAAATAACCAGCTATCACCATACCAAATTTCATCAAAATCCCTCCAGTAGTTTTTCTGTGATGCGGTAACAGACGGACAGACAGGCAGACAGACACACAGACAAAACTTCCAAAAACTATAGATTCGGACTCCGTATCGATAATAATGTCTATTTCAATAAGATTTTCCAAAAAATATCTAATGTACAGATTCGGCTTAGTTACAATTTTATTATATGTATAGATAGATATAGATTCTATTAGGTAAACTTTATACATAATGCATACTTATGAACAATTGATACCTGGGCTATGCAAAATGAAGTTTTTGCATATCAGCTGAAAAAAATGTATCATTAATTTCAATCATTACTCTATCGCCGTTGACTCCTGGAAGTAGATCTTCTCAATGAGTGTTAACTATCCTGCTACATTTCTCAAATCGTCGGCATATCATGCGGCAGGGTCATAAATACGCGCAGTAGAGTACATAAACGCGATCTCCACTCTAACTCTTCCACTGTATAGAAGACATGACTAGATTAGGACTAGATGATAATATATTGACTACAACGTTAATATATTAACTATATACATGTAACTTTTATAATAATACTGCCTCGGTGGTGTAGTGGCTAGCATGTACGGCTGCACACCCGGAGGTCCTGGGTTCGAGTCCCGGGTCGGGCCAACTTTAGTTATTGAGTCTTTCAGTATAGAAAGTCTCAGTAACAGCCCGGAGTTGGGAAGTTGGCGGTGTTTCACCCCCGTGCCTCGGAGAGCACGTAAAGCCGTCGGTCCTGCGCCTTAACTCTCACTGGTCGTGTCGAGCAGTCGTTCCACCGGAGTATGAGAGTGATAGGAATAGAGAGTGCACTTGTGTCTGCGCGTACACTTGAGCACTATAATATCTCCTGCGCAGTTGGCTAATCTCAATGAGATTGGCCGCCGTGGCCGGAATCGGCTAGGAGAACATCATCATCATAATAATACACATTTAAATAAAGTATCGAAGCAGATTTAATATTATCACATAAATATTTGTCCCACAGGTCGTGCGATAGAGCGAGTGTGCGCAGGTGCTGACGGCGCCGGCATGGTGACGGCGGCGCGCGCGCTGCTCGCCTCCGTCACCAGGGTACTCCTTTTGGCCGACATGGTCGTTGTGAGACAACTTCTACTAGCTAAAGATAAGGTAGAAAAACAAATGTTACGTAGGGAAACGAAACATGTCAGTTACCCTCCCCAGTCCTCGGTACGTAGTGACACGGTGCAGTTCTAGCATTAGTAATATGTTGTAGTTACATAATAAATAGAATAACATTTGTTAACCAAAAGAATCCTTCAGTAATATAATTTCAGATTTTCAAAGGCCCAATAAGTATTAGATTGTTTTGTAAGTATACAAGATCACTTGGGTTCGACATAAGGTATAATAAAATGAAAGTTTCTAAATACCTACATAATACATATCATTATTTTGCTTTTGTTACATACTTAGCATTAGGTACATACCGTATAAATGCATTTCATCTCTTTAAAGTATTTGGTTTATAGGGTAAATGTGAGAAAGTTTAATGGTGTAACGAAATGCAAAACTTTCATAACTTAACTAAAAGTTTTCTATATGCGAGCAGGTGGCGCGATCGTTAGATCGGTTAGAGTCAGTGTCCAACTTCGCGGAGTTTGTACGTGCCTTCACGGAATTTGGAGGAGGGATGGTAGAGTTGGCGAGACTGACAGCAGAACGGAGAGCAGATCTTCGCGATGAAAGAAGACGAGCGCAAGTCGCTGCCGCAAGAAACGTCCTAGAACGATCAACACTTATGCTACTTACCTCGTCTAAGGTAATAGTGGAATAAATATGTTAGGTTCATGCGAAGACGTTTGTAATTTTATTATTAACTAGCATTGCCCGCGGCTTCGCCCGCGTTCAGATGACCAACAACCAAATTCTTAAGTTTTACATATTAGTATACTCATACAATGCAGTTTTTGTATTTTTTCTCAGAAATGACATATTTTCCCGCGGTAAAAAGTATCCTATATGTTGACCCGATTAACCAGCTATCATCATACCAAATTTCATCAAAATCTGTCCAGTGGTTTTCTCGTTTCGACAGACAGACAGACAAAAATTCTAAAAACTATACATTCGAGCTCTGTATCGATAATAATGTCTATTTCAATTAGATTTTCCAAGAAGTATTTAATGTGCAGATTCGAATTAGTTACAATTTTATTATATTTATAGACTTATTGTTTATTCAAGAAGCGTAAATCGTATTATTACTACTACTAATCGTATTAATACAAATTCATCAAAATCTGTCCAGTGGTTTTCTCGTTTCGACAGACAGACAGACAAAAATTCTAAAAACTATACATTCGAGCTCTGTATCGATAATAATGTCTATTTCAATTAGATTTTCCAAGAAGTATTTAATGTGCAGATTCGAATTAGTTACAATTTTATTATATTTATAGACTTATTGTTTATTCAAGAAGCGTAAATCGTATTATTACTACTACTAATCGTATTAATACTATTTTTAACAAGTGCACCCCGAATTGATAATTTTTTAACGAGATTCTTCCATGACTTTGACTTTAGAAAGTAAAATTTGCAAGATCTGGAAATGCATTTTTTATATTTTATACATATAATTCACTACAAACGTATTTATGTAAAAAGCCAAAATTTTGATAAAGGAGGGAGGGACGTAGGACGGATAATATTTATAAAATTTTAACTAAAATGTGTATTCATGATATCTTAAGATTAATTACCATTTCATTAATCTTAAATCTATTATTAAAATTAGTCGACAACATAAATTTTATATCGAAGTGTCTGACTTCTCTACCGTAGCAAAATTAGGCCCGTCTTAGGGTAGCCTTGCCCATCTATTATGTAGGTTTTGCACCAATTTCGTGCCGCGCTTTGTTAGTGACACGGTTTATAGACCGCTATTACTCTTCTGTTTTATAGTCAAAATCGGGTTTCGTTTCAGTAATTTTCTAAATATAACATAAATCAATCAGCTTACGATAAAGGTATAATCTATATATCATAAGCTAATCTCAAATATCCTATCTATTACTAAATAAACTAAATTCCATATGTGCTTTAATATAAATGTAAAGGTTCATTGTAAATGCTAAACAAATGTAGCGAACAGGAATATTTCGTAAAAATAATTTATCACTAATTTTACATTAATGAAATAGAATCGAATTTGCGACGGTTAGACATATCCGTACGTATAATGTCCCACTGCTGGGCACGGGCCACCCTTCAATACGAGGGGGATCAGGCCATAGTCCACCACGCTGGCCAAGTGCGGGTTGGAGGACTTCACATGTCTTTCGAAAACTTGTTAGGTTCTCTCAGACATGCAGGTTTCCTCACGATGTTTTCCTTCACCGTAAGGCAAGTGGTAATCATGTTAGAAATGAATCGCACATGAAAATATCAGAGGTGCGAGACCCGGGATTTGAACTCGCTTCACTCGGTTTCCCAAGCGAGCGCGTTACCTCTGGGCTACCACTGCCTACCACCAGACTTAGATCTTAATTATTATGTTTTGGATTCACAGTAGACACAAAATACTAATTTTATGTTAAAAAAACTTTAATTAGGTTAGGTTAATCTTTAAGCGAACTGTCTGTTTTTATATTGCTCTACGCAAAAGTATGTGTAATAACAATATAATATCCATAAAGAACATTTTCAATTTTGTATATCTTTTTTACTTGCTTTATAAAAATAGAGCTCATTTCATATGCATAATGAAAAAAATATTGATGGGCTTCAAAAATGGAGGAGGTACTCCACGACTTACGGCTATACGGCTTAATTTTTTATTTATTGTGTATATTACGCGATATCTTCGACATTGTGAACCAATTTTCATTATTCTTTTTCCAAAAACAGGTATCACATGTAAATTACGAGAAAATATTTTACCTCAAATCGTATGAAATAAGTGTAATTTTTTACTTATAAGGTTATTTTATTTTAAAGTTTTTGGTACGATTTTAGTTAAAAAGTAATGATTGTAAATTAATTTTATATGACCCAATATTTCCTATAATATTTTGTACTAAAATAAATTATCAAAATAAATTGATAATAATATTACTCTAACTTTACTACATACCTACTTAATATTACCTCTATAATAATTTTAACCACAGTCGTATAAATTATATTTATCTTTGTAATGTAAACTCTTTATTATTCTTGACTCGGAACAAAAGCAAACATAAATCAGACTCGGTAAGGAAAATGAGCACGGCGTTGCATATAAAAGTGAATATTTTGTTATCTTTATACTTAGAAATGACTTACATTAAGATGAGTTTAAAGGCACGTCATCCATATTTGTATGTATAAAGAATAAACATTATTTATTAGTATGAAGAGTCAATAGAAACACCTTTATTGATTGCGGAAATTGCCAGTTCAATTCCTGTACATTGTAAATGTACGCGACTAGCAGTTGGAAAGTTAGTAGTACCTAGTATCATTCTACGCTATCGCATTGTTCTACGCCCAATAACTCAACGATCGTCTTATATTGTACCCCACAGAACTATGATGTGAAAAAGTAGACCTGTGATTATTCACACACTAGTGTACTCGTATTACCTTCCATGTAGACTAATCTCAGTAAAATTGTCCGTCACAACCAAAAATTTGTGGTCTGGCCATAAAATTGTTTCTTGTGGTTTTGTAATAGAATACTTAATCATGCTTTAAAGGGTTATGTTACCTTTAAACGAGATACCGATAAAAGTATGGGTTATACTTATTTCTACTTATTTTGTATTTATTCGTAGAGAGAAATATTTAAAGAGATTTCACTATTCGAACGAATTCAACGCAGCTTCAGGTTACGTAATATACATTTACATATTCTGCTGCCAACCGATAAAGCTATTCCTGTGGCTGAATATTTTGGGCCAATCGCAGAACTTAATGGTATCTAAGAATTCGTAGATTTTTTTTGTTAAAAATTCCACGTTCATAATATGGTTAATAGATATAAAAAGTTAAGTAAGTACATTAACTTCCTAAGAGATAGCGTAATTAGATTTTAACATAAAATATTAAGAGCTTTTTGCTATATTTTATTTCAAGATCAAGACTCAGACTGCTTTGTTTTCATAAAGTTAAAATAAAACATACTGAATGGATTTGTTCTAAATTGACACATTACCGTTCAAAGTAACATATTACTACATACACGTATTCAAATAATATGTTGGATAACGATTATGCCTCTGTACACAGACATGCTTGCGGCATCCAGGGAGCGCATCTGCTCGAGAGAACAGGGACACGGTGTTCTGTCAGATGAGGCGAGCGATGGACCTTATACACTACGTGGTGCGCGACGGCCTCCCCGGTCATGAAGAGCACTCGCACGAGGTCTGCATTGTTATACTCAAAATTAAAATCGTATTACATAATATTTTTCTTAATAATACTAACAATCTAACTAAAGGGTTTTACAAAACGTCTATAAGCTAGACTTTCCTATAGGTATATCTATAATAATACCTATATACATTATACATACATACTTATAAATAATAATGACTTATCTTTCTATAGCTTTGAAATACTTTATATAATTGAGAGCTTAATATCAAAGCCTGTATTGTATTGAAAAATATCTGTCTGTTTGTATCCTTACTTTATGAGACGACTTGCCTTACTTGATTGATTTGCTGATTGTTGTGGTTGTGGTGGTTTCGAGAGGTTTTACCTGGGATATTTATCGTCATAAAACGCAGAAGAAGCTGTGGACTAAACTAAACTACTAAATAAAATATCAGTTAACGTTTATTGTATAAGCATAAACTGTTACTAAATATTATAACTGCACTTTCTGTTCGGTCTCTCAATTACGTATGGGCACTTTAATCCAACTGACCTACAGTTCTGGTGTAGCAAACCGCTAGCATCTAGGCCAATTTATTAACTATTAGTGACTCAGCCTCGCTTCGCTCGGGTTCGTCCCTAGGTTTATTCCCCATATAAACTTTCATCCCCATTTTCAACCCCTTAAGGGATGATTTCCGGGATAAAATGTATCCTATATCCTTCCCGAGGTCTCAAACTATCTTCTTACCAAATTTCATCTAAATCGGTTCTGTAGATCCAGAGATTACCCCCTACGTCACAAACTCACAATTCACAAACTTTACCTCTATAATATTAGTATAGATAACACAATTTCCCGCTATAAATTATTATAAACTTCAGTTTCAACTTTGATATTACAAAGCGAGTTTATCTTATTTATAGTAGTCACAGTTAATCTTTAATCTACAAATATGTAAAACAATTTTTTACTCGCACCCCAAAATAATTTATAATGAGTCAGCCAAATTACATTTCAACGTTAGGTTTTAATAAGTTGATTGATTAACTTTATAAAAACTTTTTAACAAAAAATAAAACCGACTTCCAGGCACTAAAATGTAAAAAATAACTAAACGGAGGTTTTCATTTAGAATAGATACCTAATCAGATATTTTCGAAGTCGGTGCCAGCCGATGCAAAGCAAATCTAATGTATTTCAATACGTAAAATACATACATATTTACCTATTAGATATTCATATCTTAAAATATTGTCCGCTGGCACCGACTTCAAAAATATCTAATTAGGTATCTATTCTAAATGAAAACCTCAGTTTAGTTATTTTTTACATTTTAGTGCCTGGAAGTCGGTTTTTATTTTTTGTTAAAAAGTTTTTATTTTGCATTTTTAGTGTAGACGTAATAAGCAGGTAATTTGTTAGAATAAAGTTTTTTAATAACATATTCGATTAAACAATTTATTTACAAAAAAAAAACATTTATTGTTGATTTTTAAAAAAAACCGCTCGACCGATTTCGATAAAATTTATATGGGACCACCTGGGAAGTATACCCTTTGAAACAAAAAAAAATCCAAATCGGTTCAGGCGTCTTCGAGTAATCGGTGAACATACATAAAAAAAAGGTTCCGACGAATTGAGAACCACCTCTTTTTTGGAATTGGAAGTCGGTTAAAAATTAAAAGATAATATATTAATTATAAATACTATACAAGAAGTACATTATGTACAAAATGTGTGTTTAATTAATGTACACGACGCATGATTGCTTTCAATTATACACACGCGGTGGTATAGATTAATTTTAATTACTTTTGCTCATATTCCCCTCGAAAATTGGCTGTTTGCCATTTTTAATACTTTTTAATCATATACATAAGACGTCGTATGACCAATAATATTATTATATTAAATAGTAAATACATACTTACGTATATTTATTTACCTATAAATTTGTAGAGTAAACCCCAACCATACCTTTATTTTTAACGTTGGGAAATGCATTTACGCACGAGGTGTGGGACTCACCGGCAAAGCCAGTACTACCCACTAAAACAACAAAACCTTCCCCCGTCTTAATGGGGCGTCGCAGGATACGCATTCAACTACGATGCTCCGACGGCAGGTCTGCCGAAGCAGACCACAACAACCATGGGGTTGCTCCAAAGTCCACTCTGCTATCAGAGAAATACCAGGAGCAACCCGCATGGTACACCGCCCACCGAAGAGGGCTACTTTCCACCGCCCACCGCATACCTACTTTCTTAGTAGTTTCACAGCAAATTCAAAGGCAGCATATCTATATACTAGGTAGCTCAGAGAAAACACAAAAGAATATATTCCAAGTTAGAATTGATTTTACCAGGGCCAATAGACAATGATTCATATTACCTACTTTATAAAATAAAGGGTAATCTAGGTTTTTCTTTCACAATAAATATGTATACACCTTACAATACTATTATTTTACAATAGTAATTTTTCAGAACTTGGTTCGTATAGATGTTTATGTAATACTAGCATTGCCCGCGACTCCGCCCGCGCTCAGATTAACAAAAACCAAATTCTTAGGTTTATATATTAGTATACTCTTACATTGCAGTTTTTGTATTTTTTCCCCGAAATGAGATATTTTCCCGCGGTAAAAAGTATCCTATATGTTGACCCGGATAACCAACTATCACCATACCAAATTTCATGAAAATCTCTCCAGTGGTTTTTCCGTGATGCGGTAACAGACAGACAGACAGACAGACAGACAGACAGACAGACAGACGGACAAACAAAAATTCTAAAAACTATAGATTCGGCCTCTGTATCGATAATAATGTCTATTTAAATAAGATTTTCCAAAAAAATATTTAATGTACAGATTCGACTTTGTTACAATTTTATTATATGTATAGATTATTTCAATTAATGAATATATTTATATTGCTATATTTCTATATATTATATTGTTTTTATAAAGGTCAATTGAATCAAAAGTAAAATAAATTCTTCATAATTAAACAGGTAGGTTATTGTTTATAATTTGCGTTCATTTTGTATCCAAAATTCTGCGCCTCGGTTTAACGTGATTTAAGTCAGGTAAAGCTTTATTCCATTGTACATATCAAAGAGAAAATGATATATTCTACCAAAGAACCACAAAATGTATACATGAAATTTTAAAAAAGTTCTTGAATAAGTTTTGTGAAATATCGATATTTTTAGATAGAGACTTTAGTATAATGTGTCATTTAGATACAATAACTTTTAAACACCCAAAATAATGTTTATAAAATTCCTTTCAAGGATATAAAAAAGTAAGTGTATTTTTTATTTATTTTGAGATCCTCTGTTAGTTATTTCTAATAGACACCTCAATCGGGATAAACGTGACGAGTTTTCCAGTCCCATGATTGATCCCTGGATTGATGAAAAGCGGTATATGATTTTTATATATCAGATCAATAATTTTATAATACCTATAACATTTCATAATATAAGTAAAATATAAAATTCGTTAATCATCTTACTATATAATTATGAATTCTAATCAATACCAAGCCAAACAAGGATAGATAATTCAACTGCCAAGTCGCACTAAGGTGTGGTGGCTCATGCCTAATGACTAATGAGTGTGCGAAGATTATGGAACACGTTACCTAATTACACCGTAGTCTCGTATCGTATTAGTGCTAACAGACAGACGTACATTACAATTAAGATTACTTTTAAATGTTTACTATTATATCACATTTATAGTTTTGCTAAAAATAAACTTGCTAAATTTCTTTTAACGTTAATTAAATTAATAAAAATAATCTAAATTAAGGGATAATATTTAATTAAAATTAAAATCGTTGGTTAAAAAAAATAAAATTTTAAAGCTTTATTTCCAAAAAATTAAACAATTTAGATTTTTTTTAATTAAGCGAAAAACAATATTTAAATTCAATCAATAGTATTCATAAACCATTAAAGGATTACATATGATGTTATAGTATAAACATTAAGCTCTATTGGCGACAATGCTTCCGTGACAACGGCCGGAAGTATAGATACGTGGAAATATGGGAAGCATGCGGTGCGCCACTTAAGTTTGCATATTTCGTGCTTACACCTACCTTACTCTAATCTGTTGCTGGAAATTGTAAATATGTTACAGTTAAAGCGTTTTTTTTTTATTTTCGAAGTCTTTACAAGTATACATTGTAGATATCAAATTTCAATTGAGCTTTAAAATGTTTATTAATTTTAATACATAGTAAGTAATGGTTGACTTCTGTACTGTACAAAATAACAATTTAGCATATTTAATTTAGTAATAATAAAGGTTTTATCTTATATGTAATTCAATTCAATTCTCTTGCTAATGGCTTCAAAACGTGCCAGTTGAGCACAGATTACTTTGCCAATGTCACGTAGAATGGAGAAGACACGAAGGAGATTGGTCGGTATTAAATGAGATTACTAAACTGTTTATATTAATTAAAAAGTGTAAAAAATTATAGTAAAATATATGAGTTAATGAAATGAATTTTTAGTATCTCGATAACGATCATGAAGTTAAAAGCTTGGTATATTCGTACAAAAAATATCTAGAAGCTTGTCCACTATGAAATGGTGTTAATAGTCAATTTTCATATAACAAAATATGAAATAAATATACAGATCAATAATTTCCTGCTTCCGACAGGCGTTTTTAGTCCGGATATGATTACAATCATCACGCTATCGCGATGGGCAGCCTTGGAACTGACCTACTATGATTAATTTATTGAAAAATTACATAATAAAATGAAATTTTATTTTCTTGTAGTACATACTTATGTTACAATTTCGTCAATATTGAGAAGCATACTAATAATTAATAATAATTCGTTATAACGGATCCATACCTCAACAAAACCAAAACTTTAAAAAGGACACTCGTGTGACTGTGCACAGAAATTCGCGAAAAAATGCTTAGATTAAATTATCAAATAACATCGGGGGTAGTTTTTTAGTCGACAGTTTTATCAAATGACCATATGACATATTAATTAATGAAAGGGAGGTTAAGTTATTTTTTTATACGAATGTATGTGTATAATTTAGGTTTTTTTTGCATATTTTAATCATGATAAAATAATAAATATAATTTAAACTTTATTAAAAGAAAAATATGTTATAATTTAAATAAGTATTTATATTCCTGTGGCCTATGGTACCCTCGATTACAAGAGTATAAAAAACAACAAATATTTATTTTAAAATTCTGATATTTTATTTTAAACGTCTAATAACAAAAACTGTTGATGTGCCACTTATTTCTTCTTCTTTTATTCTTATATCATCTTTCTTATATATTTTAAATTTTCTTTTATATACGAGTCTACGAACAATGCATATGGAAATGAAGGGATTTCTTTTGCGTAAGTATGTTAATGAACGATTTCTCAGTTTTTAAATCAACCTCTCCCTAACCCCTGTATTCTTCTTTATTTCTCAGCGCCCTTCCATTCTTATTTGTCGAACATAAACACAATTTTTATTTTTTCTTGTAGTTGCAACCTTTTTCGGATAGTCACGAGCAGGTACATAAATTAAATGTAGGTAGCGAGTGCCTTTTCTTTTTGAAGCATATAAAATTATGTAATTGTATTTATTGCATTTTGTAGCTCTTTTTAAGTACGCTTTCTTAAAGATAACTAATGCATTAGAAACGTAATAAAATATTCTTTCTCATGCTCAGGGTTAAAAAGTTAAAATTGTTGGAGGAGTTAGTTAAGCATGATGTCGCATTGTATGAGGAAGGATAACTATATACAGTATGTAACCTGCACTCGTACTTTTCAAGCTTCAAGTTATATTTCATATTATCGATATCGAACAATTTTATTTCTTACACAGCGTAAATCGCTAATATCACGCTGGAGTTGCATAGAGGAGAATGTAGCCCCGCTTTTAAATAGATTTTTTTATATTCTTATCGAATTTCACTTACCAATCGATAGTGTAATATACCTATATATATAGCCTATTACGCAACAAATACACACGCTACATATCAGCAGTACGCAGGTTATTTCCATAAATTATATTGCTACACTAAAACTTTGCTACATTAAAGTGAAATGAGATGTGAAACATTTTCAGTGTAACATTGGTACACTTTATAACAGCTTTAATCGATTATTGTATAAACAACTTAAATATACTGCTAGATCGTGTATAATTTTTAATTTGAAATGAGTGAAAAATATAAGTAAAGCTAAGAACGGGCGTATAAGATGTTGTTGAACCTATTGCCAGGCTGCACAGTGGGAGGCGGGTACAGCACTAGGCGCACTGCGCGGTTTGTCAACGCAAGTTCGGGCTGCCAGAGCGCGCGGTGGCGCGGACGGGTCCAGGAGAAGGGCGCTCGCTGCCACGCTAAGGGCCCTCGTCGAAAGAACCCACGACTTCACCGACTCCGCATACACCTCACATGAGCACAGACAAAGGATACTCGCGCTCGCTGAACGAATAGCGTACGAACTAGAGAGATTAGTTGCTGTCGCCGTATCTTTAGTGAGTGTTAACATTTCATTGTCATTTATATATAAAATCTTATTTTATAGTCACTTTATTTATTATTTTACTTATTAATTATCTGATTTTCAGGAAGAGCAAGGAGGTAGCGGTACTGGAGCAGCTCTGGAAAGCGCCTGTACAGGAGCTACCAGTGCAGCTTCAGAACTCGAACGGGCCCTCGTAGTTGCAGCTAGAGATCAAGCACGTGATTTGGCGCCGCTTGCCGATGAAGCAAGAAAACTTGCCTCCGACCTTGCACATATAGGTAACTCATCAAGATAGGAATTTCAATTTTGTAAACAAAACTCATCCCAATGATCTTTTGAGCACTATTTTTTTTTAATTTGGGACATTTCAGCTAGTTCCTGTGGTGAGAGAGAATCCGAGAGACTGCACAATATAGCGAGTCAACTGCACGAGCAGTTAGATCACATAATTGAGGCAGGTTATATTTTATTTTGTGTTCATCTAAATATATGTTGATATTTAATATCAGATTATCTACAGGTATGCAAATTACTTAGGCATATAACGATGTCAGAAACGTTACAAGTAAGCGCAAAGTTTGCTGAGATAAACTTGCGAATATACGGTCCTCAAGTGGTGACTGCGGCGCGGACGCTGGCGGCGCACCCGAGCAGTGCCGCGGCGCGAGAGAACCTAGACGTGTTCGTAGATATGTGGGCGTGGCTGCTGGCTGACGCGGCGCGGCTTGCCAAAGAACTGCTTGACTTGACTGACGAACGGCCTGACAAACAACAGTATAGTAGTTTACCAAGGCCTGGAGTAAGTACCACAGATGTACATAAATTAATCAAAAATAAATAATTAACCCATAGAAGAGTTGCAAGATGTAAAAAAATGTAAAAAGCACAAGAAATGCGGTATTTTAAAAACAATAATTAATAAATTTTATATTTAATATTTTATGTATTTTAGCATTGTAGGGATATGTTATATTATAATTAAATTTTTACACAGAAACATGGTACAACAAGCAAACCTTTAAAAGCAGTACGATTAGATTCTGATGAACAAGCGAAAATTGCCAAGTCAGGGTTAGAAATGAAAATGATGTCGTCTGAGATGGATGCCGAGACTGAAAAATGGCAAGGTGCGGACGAAAATAATGACATTGTGAAGAGGTATTTGGCTTATTACTCTCTATATCAAATTTCTTCAATTTACTGTCTATATCGTATTTCATTCATCTTACTTTTTCGTATCTTATAAATGTTTAATTTTATTTACGTCAAATGCATATTTCAATAAAAATATCACATACTAGCGACTCGCTTTTGCTTCGCTCGGGTTCGTCTCTAGGTACGTTTTATCGTTTAGTATGGTCTATAAAATAGAGAGAATATACATACATATATAGTATATCTGCCTCGGTGGTGTAGTGGCTAGCATGTACGGCTGCACACTCGGAGGTCCTGGATTCGAGTCCCATGTCGGGCCAAGTTTAGTTATTGCATTTCTCTGTATAGTAAACCTCAGTAACAGCCCGGAGATAAGAAGTTGGTTGTATTACAACCCCGTGCCTCATAGAGCACGTAAAGCCGTCGGTCCTGCACCTTAACTCTCACCGGTCGTGTCGAGTAGCCGTCCCAACGGAGTATGAGAGTGGTGACAGGAATAGAGAGTGTACTTATGTCTGCGCGCACACTTGTGCACTATAATATCTCTTACGCAGTTGTGTAGTCTCAATGAGATTGGCCGCCGTGGTTGGAATCGGTCAGAGGGACATTATTATTATTATATATACATAGATAGGTATGATTCAGTTTCATAAATCTTACTTGAGAAATGATTGATTCCCCATACAAACTTTCATCCCCCTTTTCACCCCCTTAAGGGATGAATTCCAGAATAAGGATCAAGGATTCCCAAGGATTACTTACTTCCTACAAACAAATTCAAAAACTTACAGACTTTACCTCTATAACATAGTATTAGATAAAAATAAATACCCTCAAAGAGCGTTAGAGTTCGTTTTTATAGTTACTAGTCACTACAGATTTGGAATGTTATATTATAAATATCTTTACAATATTGAATGTAGGTAAGACACAGGGCCCTTCAAAAATATACGGTTTTTCTTTTTTTATTTCAGGGCAAAAAATATGTCTTCCATGGCCTTCGCTATGTACCAGTTCACAAAAGGTGAAGGTCGCCTCAACACTACACAAGACCTCTTCACACAAGCTGAATACTTTGCGGAAGAAGCTAATAGATTATATAAAATCGTTCGCCAATTTTCTTATCAGGTAAAATACAATCTTGTTGCAATAAAATAAAAAAAAAAGAAGAATTAGAATTTTCAATTACATTTTTGCAATTTTTACATAAAGGTGCCTGCTGGAACGATAAAAAAGGAACTCTTGGAGCATTTAGACAAAGTACCGACCTATGTTCAACAGCTTCAGTTCACAGTGAAAGAACCTACCGTCGGACGAGCGGCTACTTTTAGCAAAGTGGATAATGTAATTCAAGAGACCAAGCACCTTATGAATGTAATAAGTAAAGTCGTCACTACGTGCTTCGACTGCGCAAATAAGGTGACATATGCAACTATCTGTAATTGTGTGAATAAAATTACCTTTTCGAGCAACACATGGCACATTTTGAAAAGTATAGACAAATTTTCTAGACAATATAAAGAATTTAGTGCATCGGAACGTAATGTTCCTTAGGTACCTTTGCCGTGGGAGAAGAGTGTGGGAGTGATAAAAAGGCACCAGAGTGTTGCACCCGTTAAGTACTTTAAAGATTATATTCGTTCATGTTAGACTTGCGGGGGTCAAAAGTGTAATTACCGACCAAAGATTTGTTCTTGTCCTCAATGAACGCGTGTTCTTTAATAACAATATATTTTTATATCTTTTATATATATATTTTAAATAATTGTTGTCGCATATTTTAACACTTTCATCAACAAGAATAAATCTTCTTAGCAATTAGTTATTAGATTGATATAGAAATAGAACTCTTAAATTTTTATTACAGTCCCATTTTATTTAATTGTATATTATATTGATTTTTTATTTCTGTTTTCTTATCGCCTTACTCTGGGTGGTTTTCAACACTCAGGGTCTTATACCGTTGGACAAAGCGATAAACAAAACCTCAACAAATACAGGGGGCGATTCGGTCTGTCTCAGTCTTGCACTATCAAAAACACCAATATTTATGTAACTCTGTGTGTACCTGTGTATGTAGTCACTTAAGCATGCATTGTGTAATTCTTTTTGAGAATTTTGTATAGTTTATCAGATTATTTTTAGAACATGTTTCTTGTAATTTTCTGGTTATAATCACGTGCAAAAGTATGCTAGAAAGCTAGACCGACCTTAACGTATCCTTGGTAGGTATTTTCCAAATTTTTTGAGGGGCAAATATTCAATTTCCAATGTTCCAAGTTTTCGACTTACAGACCCAACGAGACAAATTCAACAGACGATAAAAATGTGAATTTTATTTATGGTCCCTTTTATGTTTCTTTTTATTTTGATAATTTCAGTACTCCCTCTGTATGCCCGAGAGAGTTCCTATGCATTGGAAGCCAAACTTACGAAAAGCATCCACATTTAAAAGTGAAAATAGTGTATTAAATGGATAACGTAGGTAATTGTGTGGATTGAAGTTGCTGGCTTTGGCGTTTAACAGAGCTTTTAATCTCTGCAATACCGATAACAACTCAATGTAATACCGTCCTATGAACACATTCACGTCGTGGTATTTATTGGAGTTTAGCGTAGAACTGTTTGATGGTGTATATGATAGTTAATATCTGGATGTTGTTTATGTGATGTTGCAAATAATAGCTTAGAATCTGTGTGTGACTAATCATCAAGACTTAAAGTACATAAAGTGCCATTAAGACATTTTATAACTTTAAGTCATATGCTATCTCTTTTATCGAGTTAACCGCTAGTAATATCAGCGCCTTAACTGGTGCTGTCATTGAATATGCATTTCAGAAACGGTTACAAAATAGTTGTTTATGGAAAAACATAAGCGTGCATGGTGTTTATTGTTCAATTTCAATGGGTGCCGTAGCGGTGTCGTAGGCATCGGTACTTGGCTAATGTCTCTTTAATAAAACGCGTACGTTCCTTTTAACATAAAACTAGATTTGCCATTGATCAATTTTGAAAATACAAATATTTTTTTGATTAAAATAGTATTTAATAGTATATAGTATATATTAAATAAAATCAAAATAAATTGTTCCCATAATAATTGGATCAATACTGGTTATTGAACCATATGAGCTTTTCAACTTTAAACAATGAAAATAGACGTAACTTTTCCCATATTGTTAAATTAAATTTCAGCGTTTTATTATAGAGCCTTAAGCCTGAAGCATTAGATGATTATATTTTAACTCATTCAATATAATGCAGTACAAATTGGACTTCACGGGTCTATCGGCTGCGGGAGCAGGGCGCGGCAGTTCGCGAGACGACGAGGCGGCGGGAGGAGGCACCGGGGACGCGAAGCCGGGAGGGAGTACGTCCGACACGGCCATGTGACAGTACGGCATGGGCCGGCGCGGCAAGGGCGACGCGCGCCGGACCAGGGTCAGCTTCCTCTTGTTTTAAGAAAAACGTCTTAAAACAACTCGTCGCCGCCGTCGGCATGACAAGAACCAGAATTGCAGGTGTCTATCTTTAGTAAATGATCGATGAAGTTAAAATTAGTGGTTTTGAAATACACTGACTTCATAAAAACGAAGTGCAATAAAATTAACATTTAAGTAACATCACGACATTGATGCTTAAGCTAAGTAGATTAAAAATTTGAGATATACACCTAATATTCTAGTACTTGACATGGGCGCCACGTACATAGGTGTATATTTTTATAACAATTATTATTATTTTATGACTAAAATCTGATACTATAGGTATAGTGTAGTAATAATCGAAGTACCGGCAACAAAATACGAATATAGTTGGAATACGGAGTTATACAGAATTATGTATGTAGACAAAAATTAAGATTATATTTTTAGTTTTACTTACCAAATACATCTTTAAATTTATTATATGTGGCGCCGTAACCGACTGAAAAGGCTGTTAATGTATTAAATAATTTGCAACAGCGATTATTTGATGGATTACAGCTTCCTTTTAACTTAAGATGGACAGTACGATAATAATGAGAAGTTTTAGCAGACCACTTGCGACACACAAGCGAACTATTAATATAAGGTTTCATATAACAATGAACGCAATCGTGCGAGCACGACGCATTTGGCTGTGGATCAAACTTACCTATTAAACTGATAATTATGTAATTTTTCAATAATAGAATAATTTGTTATTTCGTCACAATTCATACTTTTCACGCTACTTTTTCTGTACTACATAGTTAAGAATAAGTAACATCGCTACAAACCGTTGGTACACTCACATTACGAATTTCTCCTCGTTATAACATATAGTGATTAATAAGTAAAGAAAGAGTGATATCGTACAATAATAGATACGAAACTTGTTACACTTTATAATTGTTACACATTGTTACAAAGAATACGTAAGCATCCACACTAAGGAGTATATTTTTATGTTCACCCTGTAGCATGTAATATTTCCTATATATGTCTTATCATATTAATATAAATATATGTATGTATATAATTGTTTCCCAAAGTATATTATTTATAAGCAATCTATTATGCAACCTGCACTCTCGCTGTTCCTGTCTCACATTATTTTGGCTGCACGTTTGCTTTCTTGTATTATTTTTGCATTTATGTATATATGTTTACATACATGTACATTCTACTATCATACTATACATTTTACTTGTGCATTCGATGTTATCGCATATTAATGTCTTTCAACGGTCTCGATATCCAGTGCTCGATGGCAGGGACGCGCCGGTCAGTCATTGCATGATTGTGAAAGAAAAAATATATAGATGTGTGTTGCATGTGTGTACGTGATAATTGTATTGAATGTCGTACATCATCTTTCTGACGGGAGGATGTTTGGTATTAAGATGGGGGAATTTGACTCTGGTGGCTGACTGCAGCACCCACGTCGCCGTGAAACGCTCAGTGTTATATAGACTCGGAATCGAAGCACAAACAGTTCTGTCGTAAATCAAATAAATACTTGTCAAAACGCTACAACAACTACTTTACACTCTACATTGTTAAAACCCATAGACGGTCTATGCTCTTGCGCATGTTCTAAAAAAAAAAAAAGTAGTTTTTACATAAAAGAAATTAATAATCATGTTTATTTGATTTACGACAGATATCTAATAAAAAAAGGTATAGGCCTGCGATAAGTCCACGGACTCCAGACCTTGCACTCGTCTTTGCATGCTTCTGTGTGACTGCGGCTGCTACGAACTGCTACGCAACATCGCTAGGCATGACATGACGCCCATTTATAGCTGCAATATATAGCAAATAACTGTTACGGCAATAAATAATAAACATATCAACCGTTGTAGATAAAACCGTTTCTGTATTGACAGAATCGACGAATCGTTATTTAGTATTTAAGTATTTATTGTGTTATATGAATAATGATAGGTTACTATCGATCGTGCCTAAATGAATTGCACCAGTGGGTATTATGTTAGGTACTTTACTGTATAGGTTTGCAATAATTCATAATTATTATTTTTTAATAAAATATTATATGTATATGTACAGTGTTATAATTAAGTAGGTAGTATCGTGTATTTTTTTTTTGTAATAAATATTATATTTTGATATATTATTTTGTTTCCTCTGAATAACAATTATTTTTTTTTTTAATTGATAAATAGGGTTTTATTTTATTCGATGTGTATTGTGTGCCTAAATATAATAAACAGCAAAGTACCTGTGTGCATTACATACATATCTACCTCTTAAAACGGATGGAATCAAATTATTGTTAGTGTAAATAGAAAGCTAGCACCTATACACATATTATGTTCAAATAGCTTTGATGTTGATTTAATGTATACAGTTTGTCACTGGTTTGTGCTCGACGCTCCCTATGTACGGTCTATATAACACTCTTTGTTTCACACCTCTTCCGAGCTTAAATCCTTTAAGCCATTATATTTTGTAGTTACTTTCCACAATGTAAGTGTAAATTGTTTTGTAATATATTGTGTAAGTTATATTGTAATTGTATATTATTGACATGTTCATTTTCGTTATTTTAATATAGACATTAATTTAATGATATATAAACAGTCCGTTAAAATTTAGCGACGAATAATTAATTAAGGCTTTTTATTGTTACGATTTAACAATATTCGATTTTTTAAAGAGCTTGATAAAGCTTTATATAAGAGTTGTGAATCGAACTTGTGGCCACGTAACGTTATATTCAAAAATTAGATTATACACCTCACTACCATAAACATAAATATTATATATGTATAATGTAGACGGAACATTTTCACAAAATCCTTTATAAAATATTTTCATTGGCGACGTAAACAATTATAGAGTATAAGAAAATACTGATAATTTTGAATAATATTAATTTTTATGCTAAGACTTTTGTATTTGTATGTTCTAATTATTCATTATATACTTATATACAGTATAAATGTAGGAAAGACATAATGCGTCTTCGATTACATGTTGATTACCAAACTTAAAAAAAAAATGATGGTCAAACTTCAAAATTTACTATTTCTTCTATAAGTTTCAATACAAAACCTATTGGTATGTATTCAGCCCTTTTTAATGTCCCACTGCTGGGCACGGGCCTCCCTTCAGTACGAGGGGAATCAGGCCATAGTCCACCACGCGGGCCAAGTGCGGGTTGGCTTACAAAACCTATTGGTACATTTATTTAATTCCAAAAATTAAAAATTATAATTACCTTCCTATCGTTACCGTTCGTCGCAGATAAAAGAACGCAAATACACAAGTCTAATCTTTTTAAACTACCTAATACATTTATAAAAAGCCACTATTGTTTTATAGGCTTCTCACGCTATTTTTTGTTTCAATATTCACTTAGAGTAAAAAATGTTAAAATTTCCTATAGGGAAACCAAGTGATTTATAATATATTTAATATACTAAATAATAATAACCATATAAATATAAAAGCCATATATATGCAATAGCTGCCGTTGTGCCTCTAATTGTAGTATATATATCGACGATGCTAATCGCAAAAGGCAATAAATTATTATTAATAATAATTAACCGCACATTCTCATCTTCTATTGAATACTATGTAAGATATTTTTACATATTACGTCGAACATTTATTATTGTTAGAAATCACATTTACTCCTATTAAGAAAGTTTTTTCTTAATGCTTCGAAGCTTTTAACTTACCTTCGATAAATGTATTTAATCTAAAATTATAACTTGACACTATAGTAGGGGAGCCCAAGAGGGGATTTTCTGTAGTTACTCGAGCGCGGCAGATTAACATAAAAGAGGTTACCTTGCACTCTATTGAGTACTTTCACCACAATATAAGTCTTCTATACAAAGGGGCGCGTCTAGGGAAGCCGATTAAAATATTTAAAAAATGTTTTGATAAGGTAAAAATAATTGAAACCGTCAGATTAAGGTGTGGTAGGCTAGTCACATCCTGAAAAGTGTCCAATTTAATAATCTGCCGATTTGCACAAGCCTAAGGGGCAAAAATCATCATAAACTTTATAGTCGATTTTTGCCTCTTCGGCTTGTGCAAATCGGCAGATTATTGAATTGGACACTTTTCAGGATGTGACTAGCCTACCACACCTTAATCTGACGGTTTCAAGTATTTCTACCTTATCAAAACATTTTTATAAATATTTTAATCGGCTTCCCTAGACGCGCCCCTTTATATAGAAGACTTATATTATGGTGAAAGTACTCTATAGAGTGCAAGGTAACCTCTTTTATGTTAATCTGCCGCGCTCGAGTAACTACAGAAAATCCCCTCTTGGGCTCCCCTACTACTACAATGACATTGGACTATGAAGTAAAAGTATTCAACTTCCATCGCATTTACGATAATATTATTTTACTGAATAGAATAGAAGAAACTAGAGATACAGAGATTTGTGATATTAAAAAATACTTTTGAGAATTAGTACAACGTCCTCATGATTTCAAAGTTTTAAACGTAGAAATTTTAATAGGACAAAACGAGAACACCAATAATAGTAATTATTAATATTACATAGTTTTATATTTAGTCAAAGCGTAGTTCGTTCGGAACAGGGTTGGAGATGAAAGACGGTTGCCTATTTAATTACCAGCTAATAATAAACAATCGCCTAGCGTAGAGAACTTCGTAAACTATCTATATTATGTTCGTTAACCTATAACCTTCTCTTGTTATAACTTATATCAGAAAATTGTAATACATTAAGTAAAATAAATCATTAAAATTACGTTTATATTTAGATTTATCTGATCGCTTCTAAATAAACTTAATGATTAGATGAAATGTTACTATGTGAAAAGTATATTTTTATTCTTCTCTTACGACTCGAATGTTAAATTGATTGTAAGCCTGAAGGAGTAAACCCCCGAAAAGTAATGATGTAAATATTTATAATCGAGTAAGATATAGAATCGATTAAGTCTTAGTTAACGTACATATAATCGAATCAACCTAACTTTGTTAAGAGCGAATATCTAAAATAGTATCGTCAAGAAACTGTTGTGATTGTTATAATATTATATTCGAAGTTGCATTTTGATTAAAATAAATTAGAAGTATATTTTCCATAGTGCTGCCAAAGATTTATTATAATAAATAGTTGTAGTCATGTTGTTTACGTAACGGGATATTTTGAGGTTGTAAGTGGATTTGTGGGTTATATCAATGAGACAGGTTATGAGTGTAGATTATTGTATGTCTGAAAGTCTTTGTGAACGACGTTCGATAAATTGCAAGGTTGAATGTAACCTTGTATCCAGATGATGTTGTACTGTGGCGTGATCATGATCGAATACAAAACAAATAAAAGGAATTCGTACGAAACGATTGAAGAGTTTTATTTAAATACCTTATATAGTTAAAAATACTTTTTCTGTGTATTTTTTTTCTGGACGGCATATTATGAATATATAGATAATAGAGGCTTTACATAACACTATATTAACCCAACGTTCCACACAAAAAAATTGACCACCGTAATTTGGGGCTATTTGGCTTGAGCACTTTAGTCATAAGAAATTTATTTTATGAAAACATTCGTAGGTTCCTAATGACGAAACTAAAGTCATCCTTACAAGCTACTAAAAAGAACATATGTTATATTTTGTATGGAGCGAATGTCAGTTCTAATTTTTATTTTTTATGAATGAGTCTCTGAGAGGACTTTTTATTAATAAAAAGAGGAAGTGGAAAATAAAGGCTTCCTGATGAATTTATTATATTAAAAATAAAAACAGTAACTATTACCTACATCTTCCCCGCAAAATATTGTGATCACTAATTTAATTTCAAAGTTTGTTATTTACTATGATCACAAGGAGGCTATCGTTTCTGGTGGCACCAGTTGGCGCCACTGGCGAGTAAGGTCATTTAACTGCCTCGGTGGTGTAGTGGCTAGCATGTACGGCTGCACACCCGGAGGTCCTGGGTTCGAGTCCCGGGTCGGGCCAAGTTTAGTTATTGAGTCTTCCTGTATAGTAAGTCTCAGTAACAGCCCGGAGTTGGGAAGTTGGCGGTGATTCACCCCCTTGCCTCGGAGAGCACGTAAAGCTGTCGGTCCTGCGCCTTAACTCTCACTGGTCGTGTCGAGCAGTCGTCCCACCGGAGTATGAGAGTGACAGGAATAGAGAGTGCACGTTGTGTCTGCGCGTACACTTGAGCACTATAATATCTCCTGCGCAGTTGGCTAATCTCATTGATATTGGCCGGAATCGGCTAGGAGAACATCATCATCATCGTTCTCATTGAAATAGTATTTTGTAGTGCGGCAGGCCAATATATTTATAATAATAATAATAATTGTCAGCAAGAAAACAGTTCTATCAGGATTATAAATAATTAATCATAACCAAATAAATAAAATATCAACTTTTTCTTCACTCGTCTTTTAAGGAATAAGATTGAATGAGCTGTACCGTGTCTGCCATAATTAATCAGGAATGGCACAATTTTTACAAAAATCATAAATAATTATTGAAAATTCGCGATGAAAAGCTCGCAACAGTGCACATTTAGTGCCATTTGACATTTCTAGAGACTTCACTCTACACTAGCGCCCTCTCGCGGCGAATACAAGCGCGGTTGCCAAAGTACCATTTTAACTCGATAAACATCGGTGACAAATCGAAACACTAAGCACCATCTACTGAATTACAATCGTTCTAATCTCACTTTCTTTTTAAATAATAACGGTTACCGAGCAACTTCGATATGTTTATACATGAAGTTATCTATACGTATAATAAAACTGTAGAAGTCGAATGTCTGTACATGGAAAAAAAAATGATAAAAACCGAGTCAGAGGGGATGTAAGAACTAAGAAGAGAAATAGAACAAATCCTGATTTTATTTCAATTTTTTTGTTTCTCTGTCTGTTTGTACGGCCTAATCTCCTTAACTTTTGGACCGTATTAAATGAAATTTTGCATGGAGGTACCTTATATCCCCGGTCAACATTTTAAATACTTTTCATCCCGGAAAATTAGAATTCCCGTGGGATAGTTAAAAAACTATAGTAACTTATACAGCTTAGTACATAAAACTACTAATTGGATTTTAATGATACTTTACAGTAAGATAGTTCATCAGAATAACATCATTCATCAGAATAACAAATAAACTACTTTTTATCCCGGAAAAATGTACGGTTCCCGTGGGATAGAATTGTTTTTGTTTGTCTAAAGTAATATATTTTCAATGAATTGATTTATGTAAAACTAATTTATATTTTATTCTTATTTAATTTTTAATACTATTCTATACAAGTATGAGTATCATTGCTCCACTCGTAATTTTACATAGCACTGGTGTCTAACGAAATTAATTTATTTATAATAGATACATTAAGTATTTCCAAAAATAATGAAACGGGGAAGTTGAAGTCAATAAAAACAAATATTTCCTATATATTACGTATTTATTTATATTTATTCAAAGGTACAATATATTACATCGTCTCGACTTTGCCCTCCAACATCACACATCCTTGGTAATAAGCAAATGATCGTATGGTAATGGGTCGTGACCCTACACAAAATACAAAATTAAGCATATACTTATACCTACATATCTAATTTTAGATCGGAAGTCAATACTGCGGTGTAAGGAAATAATACAAATTTAACCATGGCATGTCGATTAAATAAAGATTATGCATTCATAAATAACGAGTACTCGATTAGTAATCACTCGATAATATAGTAAATATATTATAACGGTAATGACTAAACGAAAATATTTACATGAAGCAAGGCATTGAGTACACTATTTTAAAGTTATACGAAATAACGTAATAAATTTATGTATTCATAACAGGATAGGAGACCGATTAGTTTCATTACGAACTACGAATAAACAATGAATATAAAAACCAGCGTCAAAATCATGTCGGCGAGCGAGTTCCCTTCCCCTTAGATATAAAGAATCTAACACCTAGCTAGGGCTAAGGCTAACTCACACTCGAAACTATGAGCAGATCAATATCACTAAGCAATCGAAATGGACGATTGCGAACGATAATTGAAAAATCTAATTATAATTCGATTGTTATTGGTATTTACTAGTTAATATTTAGCTAATTTACTTTTCTCTCTCGCTAACTTTACTAATACTAGAATATTATAAGAATTGAGTACTAATCTCAAAATCGATAATGATATTAGTATATGTTATTCGATTGCGGTGATCATTCGCAATCGTCCAGATCGCATAAGCACAACATACGAAGTAAGTATCAAACGGCGAGCTTTCACACTTCGATCAGTTTTCAGAACGCACCGATAAAGCTGAACTCGTTATACAATAATTATTTTATAAAGAAGTAAAAAATATCTAATCCTCGCTTAAATTTAGAATGGTGTTCCTAAAATCTCATTTAACTACAAATGCGTAACATCTATTCAAAATCTCAACAAAATGACACCTAGCATTATTAAAAATTATGCTATAGTCACGCAAATATGCTTAGGTATCGAATTATATGCGTTTGTTTTGTTATAATTTTGGCGTTATTTTTGTTCATTATACATGGTGTATTTATTATTAAACATATCTTAGTAACATTTAACCCGATATCTAAAAATTACACTCAGTGCCTACAATAACTTCACACAGAGTTTGAGCGGGATTCCTTCGCATACTAAATAGCAAAGATCTATGCATCGTTAGAGTTAACACGAAACCTTGTAAAGTTCAAGCAGATTGTAATTACAAGCTACTTTGGCAACATCGTGGACGATATGAGTCATAAGCATAATGGAATAAATTTAATAAAATTGTGCTTTCTAACTCTTTAGTGATTCGCGTTCACATTACACCAGGTATCAATCACGATATTAAAATATCACAAAGTAGTTATTTTACAAAAATGTTAAAGACTATATGTATATTAAAATCCGCAATTTGATCAACGCTACGAGTTTTATTGTGTGTAAATAAATGTTTACAGAGATGAAATTAATTTCATCAAAAAATGATTTTATTTTAATTTTGCAAATAAAAAAAAATGTTATACAAAATGTGTCAAGGTTCCAAAATTCATACAAAATTAGGCCCCACTTATAAATAAATGCTTTGTCATGGAATTCTTATATTAACAATAAATACAGATAGTAAAATAACACAATCTATATAAATTTGGTACCGAATGTTTGATATAATTATTATTAGTCTTTCATTGTCGTTGTTTCAGAGCGATTATAGAATATTGGTCTATGTTAATAGAAAAGTAAATACATATAAGCTGTTCTTCCACTCACTTTATATGGAAATTCCGGACGTGACATTCTTAAATGACCAATCTGAAATTTGTAATAAATCAAACATTCACCTTACGTTCTCGATAAAAAAAGTATCAGTTACATTTGAAATGATGGGTCGAAAAATTGAACGAAAACCTATTATAATCATCATTATAAATATTCATTCAAAATATATTTCATCCCATCAATCCTTAGAAGTCCACACATAATAATAGAAGAACACCCCGTTAATGAGTCAGACAAGTTACAATTTATATACATATTAAGTTTTAGATATTACGAAAAACATTCGCGAAATCGTATCCCACGTGTTAATTTTAAACAAATACAATTACACATACACGTTACAAAATGTCCGAGGTTTAGTGACGTCGACATTAAAATGGAATGGCACTAAAAAATAAGTTAAAATCTCGTGTAATCTCAAGTGACTGTATGGCCAGTTATGTAGTACGATTATAAAGTATGTTTCTTCAATACATTACGATATGCAGAGTAAATACCTTGAAAGTATAAATAAAAATTCATTAAAACGAGTACACAGTACGGATACCGTAGCCGATGTTTGCTTTAGCCATTGTGATGAAGCATTGTACATGCTCCCTTCAGTTTTATGATACAATTAATTAATTATTCACAAATAATGATATATAATAATAATTTTAAAATGTAAATCTCATATTATTATAAATACCGATAGCGAGAACATTCGAATAAATACGTTTCCGTATGTATGTATATTCGAAGTTTATTCGAAATCCGCTTACTCGGATATTTATACCATCAGCTTAGAATGTTAAGGCTTTATATTTAATTTGTATGCCGAGTATGTATATATGTAATGGGAAATTTACGTCACGTCGGTCTGTGCGTCATCCGGCATGTCACACGTCATCCCGTTACACTTTCGAGTATAAGTGTTTAGTAACAAAAATATATATTCATCCAATATGACATTTTGAATAAAACACAAAAATACGACAATAGATAGAGAGATGACACCACAACTACCACCACAAAAATTGCTCAATTTGAAAACATCAAAAATACATATTAGATCATAGTAATATATAAGATAAGAAAACCTTAACAATCTGAAGTGCCGGTATGTACACATAGTTAATCGTGTCTAAGGCGGAGCAATGGCGCCGTCTGAGAGAAGCATGTAGTCTCCGGTGTTAGTCACGCAACAGTAACGGTGGGTGCGAAGCCGACGCGAATGAACGCGATTAAAACAAACCTTTCTTTTTCTTATCCTTTTTATCCTTCCCGTCGACCGTCCTGGAAAAAAGTAAAAGTAAAAAGTTAAAAATAACCGATTGTGGTAGTTTTCATTCGCTATTGATACCTAATCAAATATTTTCGAAGTCGATGCGGTTTGTGTATCGGCTGACGGAGTTCTGAGGTAACAAACATTAAAAAAAATACAGTTGAATTGAGCACCTCCTCCTTTTTGAAGAAGTGTATTGAAAAAAAATGCGGACAAGTGCGAGTCGGACTTGCTCACTGAGGGTTTCCTACAAATTTTTAGTAAATCTGTTTAACTTAAATTTTCAACTTTTTTATTTTTTGGAATTTTTCCTTTACTTGTGCTGTAAGACCTGGCTTTTTGCCAAATTTCGTGATTCTAGGTCAACGGGTCAATTGTCAATTTTGTTTAAAAGCAAGATCTTACAGCACAAAGAGAAAATTCCGAAAAATAAAAAATAAATAAAATTAAGGTAAACTTTGGTACTTACAAGTTTTCGCGAAAATCTAAATTTGTCCATATCTTTTTATCGTGTTGACTGAGGACCTCGATTTTTATACACCTAATAGGGACCTTAGTATCTGATATAAATTTCCTAGTTCTACCCGTTCCTGAGAAAATCGATGGTGACAGACGGACAGACAGACGGACAAACGGACAAGAGAGTGGAGGGTTCCTTTTTTTACCCTACGAGGTACGGAACCCTAAGAGCGAGCAGGTAAGGCAACACTCACTCCTTGCTGTTGGCCTCCAGCGAGCGGCGGCGCAGGTCGTCGAGCGACAGGCCGGTGTCGCGCTCCCAGGCGGCGCGCTCGGCCAGCAGCGCGCGCTGGCGCTCCTCCAGCTCGCGCGCCTGCGCCTCCAGCGCGCGCCGCGTGGCCTCGTGCCGCCGCGCCAGCTCCGCCTCCGACTCCTTCAGCTTGGCGCGCTTCTCGCGCACTTTGGACTCGAACACCTGCGGACGGTTCATTATGTATATATCACTACGTCCATACTGTATTATTAGTATATACTTTATTGCACTTACGATACAAAATATTGAAATTGCATATTAAAGGACGAAGGCAATGGTATAAAAAGAGCCCTAAAAGAGATTTATTAAGTCCATGGATGTGAAAGATAGTGTCGAGTGGCAATAATAGAATTATTAATATTATAAATGTAAAAGTATGTTTAGTTGCTTGTTTGTTTGTCCATCTTGCAGTGATGGATTAGTGTGATTTCTTTGTGTGGAGATACTTGGAGGGCTGAAGAAGTGACTTAGGCTACCGCGGCTATTTACCGAGAGAGATTATCTCACTCTCACAGGAAAACACGTTATAATACAACCCAGAACAACACATCATACCTATGTATATACTATATACATATCATAATTTAATATTAAATATGGCAATATTTAAATTACCCCCTCTTATAAATTATTAGAATAAATTTAACAAAAAAAAACTATTTTAACGTGTTAATTAAAATAAAATGCTTTAAAAGGTCTTAAAATCAGAAAAGAAACTTTAACTTAGACAAAACAAACATATAAAGAGGTGAATAATTCAACATTTCGTATTACTCAGAAATTTGCATAATTTATTATTGAGTTGCTGAGTGATTCACTGGCACACTTTAAAAAATATATAACACAAAAATTCTTGCATTAATTGCTTTGCTTGTCCTACATTGTTAGCCCGTACACGGGAAAGGAACCACAGTATATACAACTTGATTTGGTCAGAACCTCTGTCACAGAACCACTTCCTTGAATAAACAATTACGCATCGAACGTAATTAATGTATCCTGTGACACAAAAAGCTACTTAGCAATAAATATGCATATTGCATATGATGCGAGGGTGGTAAAAAAATCTTTAAGTCCTTACAGAATTTAAAATACACTATCTATATAATACACACATCTAAAAATAATTTATGTTTGAAATATTACGAGTAAGAAAATTATTATATTTTTTTTTAATATTATAAGTATACTTATTATTCGCTACTACTTGATACTACTCAGCCGAATATTGAATACTTAAGTAACAAGTTTTGTTGTAATTAGATAATTATTGGTAAAATGAAAATATTAATTTATTTTATAATAATATTTTTTTCTTATAATCATTACAGTAGTCATAGGTACATAATCAAATTTTGTATTATAAAAAATAACCAAAAAAACATCATAATTAAACTTTAGAAATGACAATCCCAGCTTTAGAGAAAAGACGCTCTTAATAAATACTACTTCCTAGCGCCAAAAAAGAAACATACTAGGGGTGTGCGAATATCGTTCGAATCTAATATCAATATTTGATTCGAAATTCGAATCGAATAATTCGAATTATTTCGAATAATTCGTAATAATTTCGAATAATTCAAAAGTTTTCGAATAATTCGCGAATTAATGAAATATCTCTGGATCTTCAATTGTATCCATTTAAATTCCTTCAAATCGTGTGTCAAAATAGTCTACTTATCGTATTTATTATTTTTGAACAAAAATTTGTAGCAGATTTTCAAATCTTGGATTTTTCATAATACTTTATTTGCTATAGTATTATTTCTATTATTTCATTCTTTTAAAAAAAACTATATTAATTGTTCTATTTGTGTAACTATATTTCATGGTTTAAATAAAATGTATATTGACTGTTAAATTTTTATTCGAAAATTGAAAATAAGAAACCCTGAAACAAAAACGAATTATTTGAAAATTTTCGAATTATTCGAAATTTTTCGAATTATTCGGGAACTCTCGAATAATTCGAATTTTCGAATTATTCGATTCGAGTTTCGAATCGAATATTAAAATTCGATTCGGAACGAATAATTCGTAAGTTCGAATTATTCGCACACCCCTAAAACATACGTCGATACAACGTTTCCCGCCACAAGTTTTGCGTTGACCGAATACTTTTGCCTGATATTCGGCTATTCGGGCAAACAAACCACCGAATATCCGGTATTCGGGGTTTGGCCGAATATACTATTCGTTGCAAGTCTAATAATAATACAAATCACTTAAATTACCATATCCATATAGTTGAACCACCATCGAATCATGAGGTTTTATAAAATCGTTTAATGTATCGCTTTAATTATTTAAACATACCTGTTCCATTTCACTCTCCATTTTCTTCATCTTAAGATCATGCTCCCTCTTCTCCTCTTCCATCTGAGCCAAAGGATTCCTGAGAACAAACGTAATGTTAATAAGAAAGCCACATTATTTCAACTTGCTTGCCTCTCTAATAATTGAATAAATATGTTATTCAAACAACATTCATAATTATTTTTCAATAAAAACAAAATTCATGCAGTTTAAATTTTAAGTAAAGTTAGTAGAAAACAACGTTATATACTGAATTCAATTAAATATGCTTATGTGGAGAATGGTAATAAGAAGTCTTTTTAAAAATATATTAGAATCAACAATTAATAAACTTAATTTGGTTGTGCATTTTCCAAAACATTATCAAGATTGGTATTTCAAAGTTAAAGGTATATATATATAATCATAATATAAACGATTGAGAAAAATTACAATATATAATGACAAAAGAACACCAAAGCAGCAGTACATATCAATATAAGCACACACGCAGTGCTACATAACCCTAATAAAAAAATCTAAGTGCATCTTCATACCAAACTACAAAACGAAAGGAAAGTATAACAAAGACAACAGGTGCTACTTCGAGACTGACAATGTAAAATCCTCAGACTAAGGAATAATATAGACAGAGTGTCATAGAACTAAACATGATGCCAAATAATAGTATTTTAAATAGTATATAAAGATAATGACAGATACTGAGTGATAAGTAAAAAATGTTAATAAATAAAAATACGAGCTAAAGGACTTTTATTATAATAAAGAAAAAAAATACGTTAATGTTATGCTATCTTCATTCAAGGGTAACAGAACTAATGTTTAAAAAATACAAATAAAACATATAGTATTGTTGTTATTATTCATATTTTATTCTCAAATATTAACTTAATACATATATAAAAAAAATCTTATTGTTCAAAGAAAGAAAACGATTTGTGTGGCATAATAGAATATAGCATAACATTTTTGTCGCGCTCTGTCTATAGAATTGTTTAGTCGGATGTAAAACCCCGTGCTGGTATGAAATATGATATGCACACAAGGATGTGTACTGCGGCACTTACCACACGGTCATGAAACTGTTCATCAGTCCTTGCGGGCAGAAACTGGATACCAACACAATGCAGTTAGCGCGCGCGGCGGCATTAATACTACTACAGTCTATTCAAATTGCGTTGAGACAAAATGTAAACAAACCGAAATAGGTTCTTTTACAGGTTTTATATGTTTCCATTTTAAATAGAATAAAATATATATTTTCAAAATGTTGTTTTTCGCCAAAAAGTACGGCGAAAAACAAACTTGGAACCCATTTTAATACGCACATTAACGGACATGGTCGCAAATTTTTACGTTAAAATATGAATTTTTGTTAACCGCTCTTCTCATTCAGAAAAGAAAACTTTACAATATACCTAGTTACTTTATTAAATTTGTTTAGCTATTAAAATTGGTGCTTTGCTAAGTTTTGTGTTGTTTTAACTTTTTAATTATTTTAATTGTTTTATTGTAATTATAATTAATAAAAAGTTTAGAAATCACTGGATTCTTTAATTACACTTTGTCTCAAGCACAGTTGAATAGGCTATAGAGCTACGTACTACTCACGCGTGTGTGCGTGGACGCGCCATCGAGCCACCATAGTATATTGTTCGGATGGAATTATATGTAAATACTCGAAAATAAAAACTTTTTAAAATATTATAATACCAATAAACTTAGTTTTTCTTTCACGTTTTAAAGTAATTTCTTATCCTTATGTGTAGTAAAAATTACATTATTTGCTTGGAGGAGTAAATAATATTTTACTATTCATTAATAATACACAAGTAACTAATATAAAAACTGAAACAGGCATTTTATCAAACGATTGCATATAAATATCTACTGTATTTTATATTAAAAAAAATCTATTATTCAAACATATTATTAAACATTAATGCAATTGTGAAGTGTTGTGTTAATTTAATTCCACAATACTTGATCAAACTTAATTTAAAAGTGACTAATATAAAAACTGAAACAGCCGCTTTATATATAGCCGGTTTGCATACAAATTAATATGCATCATATTTATACGGTTTCTATTATTCAAATGAAATATATTTACGCGATTGCAAAGCGTTATATAACTTTAATTTCACAATATTTAATCAAACTTAATAATCTGTAAATCATTAACAAATAGCCGTAAAAGGCATACAATTAAAACTATGGAAATAATAATATATAAATGCGATAGTAATGTTCTATAGCGGACCAAACCCAACGCGAGTGCAATCGACCTTACAAGCGACGATTTGTTGGCTCGTAATCAATGTAAGTGCCAACAGTTTGAACCAATCGTTCCGTCCGAACAATAACACCGGTAACTGCGAGGCACGCGAACTATCACACTGTGCATAATATAAATAATGAACGATAAATTGTTATTAATGCCACTGCGAAAGCGCATGAATCGCATAGTTATTATGATTAATGACGTTTAGTCATGGATATTTTAAAAATTCAAATGTGGCGCCGACAAGTAGAATCATAATGTTAATAAATAAACACGTGAGTGTGATAATGTATTTAAAATAATCCATGACGATAAGTGGATACATCATTTCTGCATGCCCAAGCGCAAAACATTCGAATCGTAAAGAATGTAATATGCAACAGTCTATAGCGCTAAGAAGGTGAGAAAATCAAATATGGATAGCTCAAAGTGTAAATATAATCTTAAAAAAAAAATCACACCGAACCGAAGATGACCAGACATGCAGCAATGAATGTATACATTGAGGAACATTTTTTTTTAAGTTTTTATTCAGATTAGTTTGTTAGAGAGAAATAAAATTTCAATATATAAATAAGAAGTCTGGTCACCTTTTAACGGTGACGGCAGTCTTATAAATACATCAAAGTTGACTGTACCGTACCAACCCTGTCTACTCAGGTTGTTAGTCCATGCCTTCGAGAATGTTAAAATCAATCATCTATTCTGTTAATGAACTGGCAGAAAATGTTAAATGTAATGTTAAATTAACAAACTGAAGGTTTTATAATTATAATGAGAAGTTATAGGATAGATTTTATACTGTATGATATCAAAGTGACGAGGTATTTGACGATATAGTACATAACGTGTATCTAAATCATATAAAAAAAGATTAATTTAAAGAAAAACAAAACTAAACGCAACAAATATTCAAACTAAACAATTCATTTCAATAATTACTTAATTAACACAACAACATCGGTATATTTTTTTACAAATTAACAAACAAACACCAAAAACAAAACAACAACAACAAAATCATCAAATACCCGTCAATATAAAACAACAAAAACAACACAAACATTTGCGAACATACTTGTTAGAATTGATCCTGTGCGGTTTGCCGTCGTGCGAGAGGCCGGCGAGCTTGCGGCAGCGGTAGTTCTCGTAGTGCACGGAGCTGGTCACGTCCTTCAGGTCCTGCAGGTGCGTGCGGATCACCATGTTGCGGAGGGCCAGGAAGTCGCAGTGCTCTAGGTTTTCCACTGAAAATATCAATCGTTTGAGATCAGTAATCGCTACTAGAGTTCGCCGAGTGGTCGAACTTCGACCATGATTATTATTGTTTTTTTTTTAATTTATAAAACAGTTATTAAACTAAAACAAAAAATAAACAGATCGGTTAACAAACAAAATGTTTATTTTAGTTAATTTAATGTTTAACTGTGACAAATTTCACATTCTTCCGTCTGCGTAATTTTCTTAAAAAGGGATACAAAGTTTTTGGTTCAAGTATTAATATATATGTAGATAAGGATCATCAGAAGAAATAAAACGTAAAGTTGTTAATAGCTTCTGGTATAATTGCGAAAATTTGCATTTTGTTTGTTAAACAAATTTTGATGGTATTTATTACACAGATAGTCTATAAGCAACACGTACCTAGTGTAACAATAAGAAAAATGAAACTTATTAAACTACACATATAGTAGCTATATGTATTTCAATATCTATCTCAAATGCTCTATAATTTAAACACATTTTATTAATATTGTCGAGTGCAATGGATATATAATATCACAATTTTTATATCAAAATATATAAACAATTCCAGATACAATCCAAACAGAACAATTAAAGCGTTGACAAGAATTATTAAAGCCTAAAGGTTTAATAATGTATAAGTACGATGGGAATGAATACGATAAATTGGTTGATTAATATGCGAGTAACGTGAGCAATTGAGTACCAATCTCTACTGGCTACTGTATGCATTAAACAATGTTAATTTAAATTCTGTTTTGGAAAATATCTATTTCATTTTATTTTTGGAAATTCAACCATTCTAATATTTACTTCTTAATTCAATTTTCACACAAATATATGATATATTGTTAAGGATTTGTGTAGAATATAGATGCGATATTATTTATCGAGGAAAATAACCGTTATGTTTTATTTACAAATATTAATTCTTTCAATCTATAGTTATAATAAAATCTACACATATAATAAAAGTGAACTCAACGCTGTCTGTATATGGAAGATTTTGAGAAAAAATAATATTAGGGGTCTTTATTAACGTAATAGAACCCAAAACAATGATTTTTAGATTTTTTAACTGTTGTCTGTGCATTTATGCGCGCTAATCTCAGAAATGGATTAACCGGTTTGAGTGCGGTTTTTAGTTATTGTTTTATTTCAATCGGTTTTTAAATAAAAGAGTTTCATTATTCAATCAAAAAAATAAAATATTATTATCCAAAAAAATCAATAATAAACATGTCTATAATAATCATCATATATATTAGACGATTGCTTCAAGTTCCACTTCATTATTTAAAGAAACATCTTAATAAGGAAAGGTATATGAGGCGAAATAAAATGGGCATCGAAAAAAATTAATATCCCAATATTTTTTGGTTGATTAGCCTACTAGAGATAAATAAATAAATACGTTGGGACATTAACACACAGCACCATCTAGTTCCATGGTAAGCTACGAGACTTGTGTTATGGATACCAGATAGTTGATACACTACACATATATAACTTTAAATACATACATATTATAAATATAAACACCCATGACTGGAGTACAAACCTTCATCATCACACAAATGAATGCCCCTAGCGGGACTCGAACCCGCGACCGCTGGCACAGAAAGTAGGGTCACTACAAACTGAGCCAAACGTGTCGTCAATATTTGATATTTATAGTTTTCTCCAATTAAATATTAAAATAGTCTTGTCTAATTTAACACGCTTTTATTAGCTTAATCTGTATCTATATATATATTATATATATCGCTCGATATCAGTTGCTATAAATATTCCATTAGTACGATTTCTAAAAGTAGAGTTAGTATAAAAAATATTGTACAAAGGACCCCATGCTTTTTTCACAATGACATTAAAATTTCTCGTTAATCACTTTGTTTTTATACTAAAAATAATTTTTTACTTTTTAGTTCTGTTCATCATTAAAGCGTGTTTTTTTAGCTTTTTAACAATATTTTTTATTAACTTTTTTTCCCGCTCGTTATTAGATACAACAGTAATAAAAATTAGCTAAGCTTTGAATATAAGCTATATCAAATTCCACTCAAATCCATAAAGACATTCACATTTCGTGATTGATTTATTAATATTATGTTTGGTCATTAAAATGACCGCTATAATCAAAAATTGGTTTGAAATTGCAAAAGAAATTAATTTTTTAATATTATATTGGGTCATTAGATAGACCACCAGAATAAAAATTAGTGGCAGTGGTAGCCCAGTGGTAACACGCTGGCTTGGGAAATCGAGTGGAGTGGGTTCAAATCTCGGGTCTCGCACCTTTGATATTTTTATTAAATTTTCATTACGAATCATTTCCAACATGATGGCAACTTGTCCTACGATGAAAAAAAAATATTGTGAAGAAACCTACATGTCTGAGAGAACCAAGCAAGTTTTTCGAAAAATATGTGTAGTCCGCCAACCCGAACTCGGTCACCGTGGTGAACTATAGCCTGTTCCCCCTCGTATCGAGGGCCCGTGCCCAGCAGTGGGACGTTAAAAGGGCTGAATACAATAAAAAATCAGTTGAGAATATATGTAATATGAATATAGTTCACCTTCGGCGATGCCCCACGGGTACTTCCTGCCGCGCACGCGGCGGCCGTCCTGCTCTATGACGGTGTTGGCGCCCACCACGGCGAAGGGCACGCGCGCGCGCAGCGCCCGCGTGCCCTCCGCGCCCTCGCCCTCCTCCCCCGTACTCTCCGGGAAGTCGTAGATCTTGATCTTGTGTTGTGCGATCTCTTTTAATATCTGTAAATGTGTGTTGGCGTTTTTAATCATGCACCATTTATATCTCACTAGCGACTCACACTCGCTTCGCTCGGATTCGTCCCTAGCTTAATTCGCCATACAAACTGTCATCCCCATTTTCACCAGCCTTAGGGATGATTTCCGAGATAAAAAGTATCCTATGTCCTTCCCAGGGTCTCAAACTGTTTTCTTACCAAATTTTATCTAAATCGGTTCAGTAGATCCAGATATTACCCCCTACAATGTCACAAACTCACAAAACCTCTTTATAATATTAGTATAGATAAAATGTGAATGCTAACGATATAATTACGTGTTATGAAAAATTATTTTATTTGTATATACCGACCCAGTGAACACTTAATATTTTTATAAGGAAACATATTTTCGTGCTCTAAACCAACTTGTACTAAAATATCACTAAATAATTATTACAGACAATATCTTCTTTGGTTTATGATAAACGAATTTTTAATAGACAAATTATTATCTGCGAAGCACTCATAATTCATATTATACATAGAACATAAATATTATAAGAAGTGTATTAGAAATAAGATTTTACACAACAGAATATTTACTCATCTCCATGAATCCACATACAAATAATGCAAGGAAAACCAACATACGATACAAAACGAAAAAAACAAAAGGGAAAATATACCTGACGTCACATCACACGACTAATTACCTGCTCCTTGAAATCCTTGCATTCCTCGGGCGTCATGGTATCAGCTTTAGCGATAACGGGTATAATATTGACTTTATCGCCGAGTCGTTGCATGAACTCTACATCGAGGGGCTTGAGGCCGTGTCCGCTGGGCGCTATGAAGTACAGGCAGCAGTGCACCCGAGTGTCGGGCGGCGCCGCCTTCCGAGTCACCCGTGACTCCGCGTTTAAGAATTCCTCATATTTCGATTCAACGAAATCGATTATCGGTTGCCAGCTGAAAGGACGTTTACATTGAAATGCTAAATTAAAAAAAAACACATTACTAACAGAAACCTGCACCGCTATATAGTTTCTCAAATAAATAATTCATTCCTAATTCATATGCTTATAAGTATCTCGATTGGAAACGTGTTTCAGCATTTAAATGGTTAGATACATACTGATGATTCTACGCTTGTATATACATATACGAAATCTCTCGTATATGTATATAACACTTGCTTTTTAACGCTAAAAAGTAAAGGTAAAGCACTAAAAAGCAAGGCGGTATACATATGTATGTACAATTTATAATTTCTTACAATTTGCGTTCCAACATTTCTTTCTATATACTTGTATCTCTATAGACATTACACCGATCCGACTTTGAATCAAAACGTAAATATAACGGTGCAATGTGAGGCGCGAATGGTAATGATGGCGCGGGGTGACATTGAGGTCGGATCAGAGTAAGGGCGGATTATTACTTAATAAGATAAACTTTATAAAAGACTCACAATTAAAGAATTGTATTATACGTCATAAAATATATCGCATAATTTCATTAGTGTGTACAAACAGAATAAATTATATATATATATATATATATATATATATATATATATATATATATATATATATATATATATATATATATATATCGCTTATATTACACAAAATCGTAAACAATATTGCAGTCAAATCTTGTTAAGAAAAAAATGGCTATAGTTTCACATCTATAGAGCCGTCTTATAACAAGGTTGCGCATTATGAAAATTCAAAAGTTCATTAATCGCAGCAATAGTATAAAAAATCTGCCTCCGAACAAAAACGAGTTTTATACGTCTCAACAGAAATTGGGACATTTAGCGAACTGGTTTTACAGAAATAGCAGCAAAAAATTGGGTTATGTTATATTTTCCATATACGTATGTACGAGTGTTAGATTCAAACGAGATACATTTATAGTTAGATTATAACGAGTTTTGTGATATCGTCTGATAACTTTATTTACACTAGCCAAATATCAATCAACTTCGAAATGTATTAAAATTCTAGTTTATATAATAGGATTTCTATAATATGTTCAAGAAAAAAATGCAAATTAAGACGTACCAATTGCTATTGTCGACTGCGTCTCCAAAGCCGGGTGTGTCGACAATTGTGAGAGTGAGATTGACGCCATTTTCTTTGAGGAGAACCACGCTTGTTTCCACGCCCACCGTCTTTTTAACGCGTAGTGATGGCCCTGGATGTTTATCCTTATCATAAACTTCCGTCAGAAATAATGAGTTTATCAACGTGGATTTGCCCAATCCCGTTTCACCTGAAAATTAAGCCAAATATTACGAACATAAGTACAAAATATAATATTTATTAAAAATATTTTGAATTAAATTAATATTTACAATGAATCCATACAATACAAAACACAATTGTGTGCAATATTGTTTTTTAATTCGGAGTAGGCAGAAGATTGCAAAGCATTAAGGTAGTGTTGGGACGTTTCTATACAGAAATAGTCCGATAATAACGCAGCGCACAGTAAAATAATAACTATGAGACTATTGTTTATAGCAATCATTATCATTCGTAAGTTATGTCGACTGAATTTATAGAATATAAAAGTATAAAGTTGAAAGAATATAGTACACAATGTCTTACCTACAACCATTAACGTAAATTCGAATCCCCTTTTGACTGCTTTTCTGTACACTTGGTTTGGTAGGTTTGCGAATCCAACATATCCATCTAATTCTTTGGTTTTTGGCTTTTCTATCTTAGGTAAATCGGGTTTTGGCGCAACCGGTGGGTGATCAGATTTCTGAAATGCACACTTACTGTAATATAATATGAATTTAACCCTAAGCCTTTATTAGGAACATAACATATGTAGGTATGTTCAAAATATAAATATTAATAATAATCAGATTATGACTATTCACACCTTCATTATATTCTCTGTACTTCTTAACGGCGCGTTGATGGAAGGTGGTGCCATTGTAGGTACGGGTGGCGCGGGCATTTGTGGGGGCATTGAGGATGTTTTGCCCACATCCACTGACACACTGTTGCTAAGCTTGACTGCGGATGCTGTCCCATTGGGCTCGTGGTGACTGTTCTCGGGGGGATCGGGCAATGTTGCGGAACGCTTGGATAGAGCGTCTTTGAGGGCTGAAGGTGCTATTGGCGGGACAGGCGGCGCAGTGTTCGGAAGGCCAGTGGCACTCACCCCGCCGCCGCTCACTGTGTCCGATTTGAAAAACAGCTCGCGCTTGCTCTGCAACTGTAATCAATAACGAGAATGTTTATTATTAAACATTAATGTCAAGTGTGTGCAAGTACGGTGTAACTGGCGCCTATTTGGCCAGAGGTCAAGGGCTTTTCCCGATCAATTTGACCAAGACAAATAGTGACACAGTGACACACGCAACATCAAAAATTGAAAGTTACATTCCTCATATATCCATCTCGCTAACAAATTAGATACATTTAATTAGATAGTGACTTTTCAATGTTTTTTTTTAATTTATTTTATTTAAAAATTACACTTTTCATATCAAATACGTTCGAAGTTCAAAATTAGTCACTCCGTTTATAACGGGCGTAGATTTATTGCAAAATACGAAGAAGTAGGTATGGCGGCGCTTGTCGGCCTATACATGTGCAGCATTAAGTATAAGTACACACAGCCGGCTGGCTCCAAGCTCGGCGTCTGATGACTCACCGATACCAAGGCAAGATACATACACAATACACACTATAGTTAATATAGCTATTTAGAGAAGAAAATAGGTCTTTTTTATACTTATAGTGTATTTCGTAAGAGCAAAAGATTAAACTCAGAAGTCTTGAATAAGATGATTCATGCTTTATTTTTCTTTGAGTAAAACCAATAGTCAAAACAATAAATAGGTTCTCGATGATTCACTGCCAAATAATGTTACAAATAAAATAATCTAATAGGAGTTTAGTAAATAACATAGATACTTGTGAAATACTACAGTACACACTAAGTTTAATAAAAATGAGGTTTATTGTTAACTTAATGTGTATAATTAATGTCCTTTTTAATACTTTATAAAATAATAATATTATAAACATATGTTCCCAGTTAGCATTTTAGATATACCTATTAGTATATTACCACGTGTATATTGTTAAGGGAGAGCTAAGTTGGACGGGCATGGGAACTTTCGCTCGGATGATTGTGTTTATCGCAAGGACAACGCCATATATTATGTAAGTATATTGATGCCACATCACACGCCTTACGATTTAAATATATATATTTTTTTTTTTGACATTAACACACAGCACCATCTAGTTCCATGGTAAGCTACGAGGCTTGTGTTATGCATACCAGATAGTTGATACACTACACATATATAACTTTAAATACATACATATTATAAATATAAACACAAATGACTGGAGTACAAACCTTCGTCATCACACAAATGAATGCCCCCAGCGGGACTCGAACCCGCGACCGCTGGCACAGAAAGTAGTTTCACTACAAACTGAGCCAAACGTGTCGTCAAATAATTTTTTCATATTCCCTTAATATATCAATTTACAACACTATTTAGCTTTCTCCCTTCTGCACATCGTAAGAAGTCTCTATGTTGACTAATGAGTAATGACTGATCGCGTTATTGACACTACACATCGTCATCCGGTGTTTACCAGAGCAAGAACATTGTACTGCGTAACATAAATAAATTCATTGGCATTCAATATCAGAAAAGTTATTTTGTTTGTTTTCAGAGGTACCACGTATAAACAACCTACTTTCTTCCACTTCTATTTGCCTAAATGCTTCGAAACTTTAATCAATGAAATTAACAGACGATCGCGTTCATCGCAATCATTCATAATTTAAATGTCTCTCTTGAAAAATTATTTATACTAAACTTACCATATTGGCGTAAATATGTTCATTTTTCTTTTTCTTTCTGCTAAATTTTAAAATATTCTTTACATTTTTGTACATAGATTTAACACAATAGTTATTTAATGTTATAAACAAAACAACAACACTGTATTGTAACAGGTACTACGCCCATCTATTAGAACAAGGAAAATAAAGCATAAATATGATTAAAATAGGACTATAGACTCAAGACTAGGTAGGTTGTTCTAACTAATAATAGTGATGAGTCTTATTATATATACGTTTGTTAACATCCACAGTTTGGAGTTAGAGAGACAGTCTAAAGAGAAAATAATACATAGTATGTTTTATAATAATAGTTTTTTTTTTTATATAGGTATTAGCAGAACCCGCGGCTTCGCTCGCGCTAAAACTACAAAAAATCTTTAAAAAGGTAGGTTTCATACAATCTTTCATCCCCTATTTTACCCTCTTATATTATGAATTTCGAAAAATGCTAAAACACGTATTTATTTAATTGTATTGTAGAGCATTAATACCAAGTTTCAAGTAATTATGATCATAAATATTTTTTTTTGGATTGTATTATAACATGTTTTCCCGTGGGAATTAGATAATCTTCCACGGAGAAAAGTAGCCTATGTCACTCTCCAGCCCTCCAACTATCTCCATACAATAAAATTAGGCCAATCCGTCTGTTTCGACGCGAAAGAAGGGCAAACAAACGAACAAACACACTTTCACATTTATAATATTATAGTATGGATGTACTATGTCGGTGTTGGTAAGTGACAAAATGTGTTGGAGCATAGAAACGAACGATGCGCAACATTAGTTTGCTTCACGCAAGAATTAACAGTATCGCAAGGGACATGGATGGCATTGTTGAAATAATTATCTACAAAATACTAGAAGCTTCAATTTTTATTGAAATTTATAATTTATGTTGATCTTAGGTAAATGTTAAATGTAAAAATATTACAAGTGTACTGTTAAATATACCTACATTTCTATTTTATTTAATAAGTGTACTCTACAAGAGTAGTCTGTGATGGTACCTTACCAGAACTACTCCACCTGCCAATTGACAACTCCCTATGGGCCGACTACTGTAACTTGCGTAACTAATATGAATCATTCATTGTATAACAACCTTAAGACCTCGTTTCGTAAAGCTCACAGTTACGATAATTTAAGGCGGTTAGTTCAATGATGTTCATTCTAGATTTTACCGTTCAGGAAAAAATAATATAAAATAATACTTATATAACTACTATCTATACGATTGATAGAGAATAAAGAAGCAATTCATAAACTTCCGGCCGCCCGACGCCCCCTTCTTGGATTATCTGACTTGAAGAACCACCGCGTGAATGCTTAATACATTAAAAATACTAGATCGTCATAATATATATATAGATATTTTTTGGAAAATCTTATTGAAATAAACATTATTATCGATAAAGAGGCCGAATCTATAGTTTTTAGAATTTTTGTCTGTCTGTTTGTCTGTTACCGCATCACAGAAAAACTACCGGAGGGATTTTGATGAAATTTGGTATGGTGATAGCTGGTTATCCGGGTCAACATATAGGATACTTTTTATCGCGGGAAAATATCTCATTTCTAAGAAAAAACTGTAATGTAAGAGTATACTAATATGTAAAACCTAAGAATTTGGTTTTTGGTTATCTGAACGCGGGCGGAGCCGCGGACAATGCTAGTAATATTATAAATGTAAAAGTGTATTTGTTTGTTTGTCTTTCTTACACGTCGAAACGGAGTGACGGATTGACATGATTTTTTTTGTGGAGATAATTGGAGGGCTGGAGAGTGACATAAGCTATTTTTTACCGCGGAAGATAAACTCATTCCCATGGGAAAACACGTTATGATACAACCCAAAAATGATTTATGATCAGAATTACTTGAAACTTAGTATTAATGCTGTTCAATACAATTAAATAATACATGTTTAAGCATTAGTAAAATAGGGGATGAAAGTTTGTATGAAACCTACTTTTTTAGAATTTTTCAGTAGTTTTAGCGCGAGCGGAGTCGCGGGGTTCTACTAGTAAATTATAAACCTATCTTTGACGGGTCAATGTGTATTTTAAGAGAAAACTTCCATCGCATATTAGGAATATGTTAAAATCATTTGCTTGAAACAATACATGGTAAAAATTGCCTTTGCGAGTATTAAAACTTATGATTTTTTTTTCTATTCTATCGTATTACTAACAAAACGAAACCTACTTAGACGAAAAAGGAAACAGCGGGAATCCTTATGCCCAATAAAGCGGAAATTCTAGTTTACAAGTTTTATTACCGATAGGTACTCAAGCTGCACTGACGAAAAACTAGAATTAATAGCACTGTGCGGAAACATGACTTACCGAGTAAGTTGCTACTATCTAGGTATCTACTTTGGTCTGACTCATAGTCGCTTCTGCCCAGGATGCCGGAGCGTAATTTTGTTTCTTATAAATCAAAAAGAATTGTTCATTCTTATGGCACGTAATAGTTAGCACTTTACCTTTAATTTTTATCATTTATCAATCTATACATATAATAAAATTGTAACTAAGCCGAATCTGTACATTAAATATTTTTTGGAAAACCTTATTGAAATATACATTATTATCGATACAGAGGCCGAATCTATAGTTTATAGAATTTTTGTCTGTCTGTCTGTCTGTCTGTCTGTTACCGCATCACAGAAAAACCACTGGAAGGATCTTGATGAAATTTGGTTTGGTGAGAGCTGGTTATCCGGGTCAACATATAGGATAATTGTTACCGCGGGAAAAGGTCTCATTTCTGAGAAAAAATACAAAAACTGCTATGTAAGAGTATACTAATATGTAAAACCTCAGAATTTGGTTTTTAGTCATCTGAACGCGAGCGGAGCCGCGGGCAATGCTAGTTTCCTATATAAGTATACCTATCAGTATTCTTGTTATTTAAAATTTAGATTTTTTTTGACGCTGAAGAGTAAAATAAAAGTAAAATCTTTCTAAGCCATATTTTATAATATATATATGAGATAGCGCAATTTGTTTCCAAAACAAAACTAGATGTTCTACGGGAAGTAAGACTCTATGGGCAAGTGCACGTGCGTTATAATATAACTTCCATGATCCGCTACGGCTATAGATATACAGTTCTACTGCCATTTAAGCTTCGAGTAACTGTTTTGAATTTTTATATCTGTTTTAAAGCTAGTAAAAAAGTAGACCCGACTTAACAGCAAAAATGTAAGTTTTTAATCGGAGAATTCTTTATACTTACTTAGATATACGATAGAATGATGTTTGAACTCGCTAATCTCTGAATGTACATTTCCGTCCGATTTAAATAATCCGGTTCCCATTTGTAGCTTATATATT